AAAAAAAAAAAAAAAAAATGCTTTACTGTGAATGTTATGTTTAAATGTATGTGGTAGCTGGGCACGGTAGCTCATACTGCCTATAATCCTAGCACTCTGGGAAGCCAAGGAAGGTAGACTGCCTAAGCTCAGACGTTCAAGACCAGCCTGAGTCAGAGAGAGACTTCATGTCTACTAAAAATGGAAAAACTAGATGGGTGTTGTGGCAGACACCTATAATCCCAGCTACTCAGGAGGATGACACAAGAGGATCGCTTGAGCCCAAGAGTTAGAGGTTGCTGTGAGCTATGACACCACAGCACTCTACCCAGGGCAACAGAGTGAAACTCTGTCTCAAAAAATAAAATAAAATAAAAAATAAGTAAACATATGTGGTATACATTATTTGAACAGCTGGATTCCATTTAGCTAGAAATCAGCAAATTAGTATGATCCATTCTGATTTCTAGTTTAGTTCAAATTTGTTCAAAGTCCTAAGGTTAGATCTTTAAACAATATAAGAGTAGATGAAAAATCCTTAAAAGCTACAAAAGGCAGACCCCATCTCCAAACCTACAAACATACTATCATTATTATTATTTTTACTCATATCCCAAGTTGGACTTCCTCAGGTTAAGTCTATGTTTGGCCAGAAAGAGAATCTCTTAAGTACCAGCCCAGGCTCCAAGGCTACTTCCTGGACAATACTCCTCCTTAGCAGGCTATTTTCATTTCCTAGATTCTAACTCTAAAAATCTGAGATCTAGAGATTCTGAGAGTAGTATAAGTCTGAATGAAGTGGCACAAAGAATGGACTATGAAGAACAAGAAGAGCAACTGTGAAACAACAAAATAGCTACATATAAAGATTCCATTTCAAGAAACTTTAATACTGGAAGGATCAGAAAATAACAGCATAGCATCTATTGCCAAAGATTAAAGTGGCAATAGATGGCAAGCAAAATGTTTTCAGTAAAATGGTTTTTTTCTTGTGTCATGTGGAACTTTGTCTATTTTCTTACTTTGTTGCCTTCAGTAGAGTGCCTTGGCATCATAGCTAACAGCAACCTCCAGCTCTTGAACTCAAGCGATTCTCTTGCCTCAGCCTCCTAAGTAACTGGGACTACAGGTGCTCAACACAACACCCAGCTATTTTTAGAGATGAGGTCTTGCTCTGGCTTAGGCTGGTCTTGAACCTATGAGTTCAAGCAATCTACCCACCTTGTCCTCCCAGAGTGCTAAGATACAGGCGTGAGCCACTGTGCCCGGCCTAAGTCTATTTTCTATTTAAAAAAAAAAAAAAAAAAGAACACAACTTAGGTCTCACTTTAACCACCCCCCAACATCTCTGACCTGTGGAACTCAAAAAAAGTTGTTTGTTTTTTGAGGCAAGGTCTATCATTATCACCCAAGCTGGAATGCATTGGCACAATCATAGCTCACTGCAGCCTCCAACTTCTGGGCTCAACAGATCTTCCTGTCTCAGTCTCTCAAATAGTTGACACTACAGAGGCACACACCACCACAGCCGGATAATTTTTTTTTTTTAAACCAAGACAGGATCTCACTATGTTGCCCAGGCTATGTTGTCATGAACTCCTGGCCTCAAGTGATCTTCCTGCCTCCACCTCTCAAAGTGATGGGATTATAGGTGCAAACTACTATGCCCAGCCCAAAACATGACTTTTGAGTGAATTTATAAGAGGAATACAGAATTAGGTTCAGTAAACTTTTTTGTAATAGTTCAACTAGATTTTACACTTTTGTGGAGGCTCATTTCACTATACTGGCTTCATAAATGAAGTATACTAATACTTTTCACCAACACATACCAGGTAGCTCTCCCTTTTTCACAAAACTATGAAGGTGGAAAAACAGGCAATGCAATACTTCTTATTTCCATATCTAATGCAAAATAAACAGCAAGTATTTCTATTTTTAGAGAACACAGCAAATTTTGAAGAAAATTATCATCACTTACCTTCCCAACATGGTATCTGGATGAGCAGTGAAAATCTGTGGATTCACAACAAAACGTGTGCCATCTACAAGAAGTGTCACTTTCTCTGGAGCCTGGGAATGAGGGTTACTGCCAAAGCCTATACTGCTGTTTCCAAATCTTTCTGGAAGAAGAAAGGGTTCATGGTTCCGTTTATTCCCACTTTGGAAGCAAGAGCCTTTGATGTCTTCAGGAAGTGGCATTATGTGAGAGAACTGAGGATTTGCTGGCTGAGAGGTATGGTCAAGTGAAAGGTCTAAAAGAACATACAAAGAAACCAAAATAACTTGAGAGCAGAATAACTCTGTCTTCTTTAAAACAAGTAAACAAAAAAACAAGCTTTTAGATGTTCACAGGCAAAAATTCTTCCCTAGAGCACATTTTAAAAACAACAACATAGCCAGGCGTTGTAGTGGGCGCCTGTAGTCCCAGTTACTCGGGAGGCTGAAGCAAGAGAATCACCTAAGCCTAGGAGCTGGAGGTTGCTGCGAACTGTGACACCACGGCACTCTACCAGGGGTGACAAAGTGAGACTCTGTCTCTTAAAAAAAAAACAAAAAAAACTTGTATTAAAAAACAACAAGAGACTCGGCGCCTGTGGCACAGTGGTTATGGCTGGGCACATGCACCAAGGGTGGAGGGTTCAAACCCGGCCCATGCCAGCTAAAACAGCAATGACAACTGCAACCAAAAACTAACAGGGCATTGTGGTGGGCCCAGCTATTTGGGAGGGTGAGGCAAAAGAATCACTTACGCCCAAGAGTTTGAGGTTGCTGTGAGCTGTGACACCATGGCACCCTACCCAGGGCGACAGCTTGAGACTGTCTCAAAAAAAAAAAAAAAAGAAAAGAAAGAAAGGGAATGAAAAAGAAATACGAGACTCATATTGGATTTCCCTGAGCAATTTTGACGTATTTGTGGGGGCCGGGCACAGTGGCTCACACCTGCAATCTTAGCACTTTGGGAGGCCGAGGCAGATGAATTGCTTGCGCTTAGGAGTTCAAGCCCAAGCTGGGCAAAAGGCAGACCCCATCTCCAAAAATAGCTGGGTGTTGAGACGGGCACCTGTAGTTCCAGCTATTCAGGAGGCTGAGGCAAGAGAATTGCTTGAGCCCAAGAGTTTAAGGTTGCTGTGAGCTATGATGCCACAGCATTCTACCCAATGTGACAAACTGAGACTGTCTCAAAAAAAAAGAAGTATACAATACAACACAATACAAATTAGGCTTAAAACTAAATATATGAACTCTGGAAGTATACAAGAGACAATCAGTAGTAAATATTTACAAAAAGATTACTAGAGAGTTCTCAAAAAGAAAAAAAGGTGGTCTATTTTAATGTAAAAAAGAAAAAGGTTTTAAATAAAACATTTTAAACATACAGAAGCACAGACTTAATAAGTATATCCCATCATCCAGATTTGGCAAGCTCTGTTAATCTTTTCCTACCTATTCTTCAGGCCCTTTCTTGAAAAAAATAAAGTTTTTAGATACAACAGGTCTCACTTCCACCTGTTTTTTAAATTTGTATATAATTATTCATGAACATAATTACTGTCAACGACCTCTGGAAATATAGTTTGATTTCCTGCACTCATACAAACAAATAAATTGTTAGTTAGAGGACCTGAATTTTTTCCCCATTTGCTTATAGATAAAAGGAAACAAAAATCTATTTAGAATTTACATTCCACAGCTTCTGATAAATTTCCAATGTGGTCTCATGTTTGCACGCCCACACCAAGAGCTAACTTCCATGCAATTCATAGACAAGCTTGTAGCAAGAAACACTTCAATTACCAGGATAGCCTTTCACATTTGATGTAAAACATGTACCTGAAGTACTAATTTAATTCTTTTTTTTTTTTTTTTTTTTTTGAGACAGAGCCTCAAGCTGTCCCCCTGGGCAGAGTGCCATGGCATTACAGCTCACAGCAACCTCCAACTCCTGGGCTCAAGAGAGTCTCCTGCCTCCGCCTCCCAAGTAGCTGGGACCACAGGCGCCCGCCACAACGCCCGACTATCTTTTGGTTGCAGCCGTCATTGTTGTTTGGCGGGTCCGGGCTGGGGATTCGAACCCGCCACCTTAGGTGTATGTGGCTGGCGCCTTAGCCGGTTGAGCCACAGGCGCCGAGCCCTAATTTAATTCTTTAGAATGCTTCATTTCCCAACAATGAAGCAATTAAACTGGGCTAATTCCCAAACCCAAAGAAGCCCTCCTTAATTGGGTAAGCAGGAAAAGAGACTCACTGCATTAGTTCTCCCTAAAGATGCACTCTAGGGTGGCAGCCACATTCTTTTCTGTCAGTTGAGAGACAGAGAGAGAGAGTAATCTATAAATCTACTTATTTATATAATATATAAATAAAACACTGCCTGGTCAGAAAGACATAGATTTAAATCCCAACCTACTACCTCCTAGCAGTGTGAACCTGGGCAAGTTCACAGATGAGGAAACTAAGCTTTCTCTTTGATCTTTCTTTTTCTTTTTTTGATCTAAGCTTTCCTTTTTTTTGAGACAGAGTCTCACTATGTCAACCCTCATTAGAGCGCAGTAGCATCACAGCTCACAGCACCTTCAAACTCCTGGGCTTAAGCGATTCTCTTGCCTCAACCTCCCAAGTAGCTAGGACTATAGGTGCTCGGCAAGATGTCTGGCTATTTTTTGTTGTTGTCATCGTTGTTTAGCCGGCCCGGGCGGGTTTGAACCCACCAGCCCTGGTACATGTGGCCAGCACCCTAACCACTGATGATCTAAGCTTTTTAAGTTTCAGTTTCCTCATCTGCAAAACAAGAATAGTAGGTGTGAGGATTAATCTAGAGTAGGGATCAGCAAACTTTCCACAAAGAGCCAGAAAGTAAGTATTTTAGGCTTTGTGGGTCACAGTCTCTGCCACTTATGGCAAGAAAGCAGCCATAGACAATAAATAAGCAAATGGACATGATGGCTGTGTTTTAATAACATTTTGTTTACAAAAACAGGTAGTCAGATTTGACCACAGTTTGCCATTCCTGATCTAAAGAATGTATATGAAGTTCATGAAGTTCACTAGTACAGTGCATGCTCAATAAATGGTAGTTGCTATTATTGCTGTGATTTTTTAGTAAAGGTTAGAAATAACCTAACAGTTTATAAGGAGCTTTCCTATCAATTAACTCATTAATCTACCAGCCTTGCTAGATAGGAAGAATATCCTTGTTTTCAAGATTAAGAATCAGGGCTCAGAAAGATTAAGAATCTTATTCATGGTTACAGTTAGTAAGTAGATGAGCTAGATTTTGAATATGTCTTCTGACTTCAAACCTGTGAGTGTTTTTCTTATACCAATACCACCAAGTTAGACGTGCTAGACTGATTAAATGAGTGGGGATTTACTGAAGCTCAACTTTATGTAACTGTAATATGCAGCTTAAGCCAATTGATTGATTTTTTTTTTTTTTTTTTT